CATCAAAAAGTTTCGCTAGTAATAAAACTACTTGTCATCAATGATAAGGTATTTTATAAGTAGATGTGACTTAATTAGCATATTGATTCCTACAAATAGTAATAATTGCTATGGAAGAAAGATTTATTAATTCGCCTTCTGTAACTTAACTTTACCCGGATTATCATAAAGTAATTTAGGTCATGATTAGTGTATTAAGTGTAAACGATTTTCTACCTTTCGATCGATTAAGTCTTTGGTGACACCCAAAGACTGAAGTGCGACCGAGATCTAGCTAGCAATTCTTCCATGGAGTTCTACTTTTTGTAGTAGTTAGTGATATTTTCATGTATATTTGATTGTCATCTGACAGCTTGTCTTGTTGTGTGTACTTTATTTCTATAACTATTATTTATTGGTCTAAAATGCCATTATCTTAACATATACACTTTGGTTTATGAACTTTATCATTGAATCATTGTAACCTGTGTTATAGATCAGATACATATGAATTATGGCAAGTTTCCGGTCATTTTTATTTTTTTTTTGGATTTAACAACCTACTACCTGTTCGTTATAGACATTTTTATTTAAAAAATATACCAGTAAAATATGATCACATCCCAAAATTACTCCATTTTTAATGAGGATTCCGGGCGTCTTTGATTTCATCCTTAGTACTCATCAATCTCCCCATTACTCTCATGAAAAACTTTCAAAGTTAAAATAGCTTTTTTTCTTCTCAAGCGTACTTTCTTCAACGACAACAAAAAAATTACTAATATTAAAAAAAGTTGTATCTCTCATCTATGTATATAATAATTTCTTATCGAATCACAACTGATTACATCATGCTATGAAAACTAATTATTAAAAGCTTAAAAACTAGTAAAAGCAAGTTTTATTATTAATTCAGCACAGATTTATTAGCTTAAGGCTACTCAACTCTTTGACATGTTGTAATTTCACTTTTTACATAAAAAAATTTTTTTGACAAGAAATGTATAGATTAACTAAACTAGAAAATGGATCTAATGATATGTTGTTGTAATATGTGTTAAATGTCCTGATGATTAATAAATCTAATATAATTTCAATAGTTGAGATCATGAGTCAATTGAAGGTAAACCATCATGGAAAACTAATATAATAATATTTAATATAACCTTATCCTAGTTCATTTTTAATTCTAATTCTGTAAATTTTTCCCTATGGCAATCAGAGTCAAAATAAAATTTGACTTTAGTTCATATCCATAGGTGGATAAATTTTTTAACTATCCTAGTAAACTAACTCACAACTGAAAAATGAAAAGTAATATCTCATTAATGTTTTGTTTTTGTCAAATTTATTAACTAAACCAAGTGATTAGTTAATGTTAAGCAATGTCATGTTGTTCAGTTTTCATTGCTGACTGAATTTTTCATCTGTTAAGTTACAGTTCAGTCATTAGATCATGTGATCTAATACTGAGATACACCGTGTTTTTGAAGTTAAATTGTTGAAAATAGCTAGCAGTAATTCCCTATATCTTTAACTGTGAAAATAAATGATTTATCAGGAAATGTCAATTACTTCAAGAATGTTGGTAAATTTCAACGAATAGGAATCCTAGATCCGTGGCTTCTTGGTGATCCCTTCTGACTAACACAATTTAAACAAGATTTTAAATATGGTAATGTAGTCCTAATGAGGTATATTTTTACAATTAAAAACTATCCTAACTGTGGGAAAGCTTGATTTCAAGTAGGATGCAATATACGATCTCTGATAAACACGGAGATATTATCATTAGTCGAATGAGTGACTTTCACGTTGTTGACATTCAGTTCTTTGATGTGGATTACAGTAAACTTATCAATAACAATTTTTTGAAACTGTAGAACGTTGAGTTTCAGAATGCAGTCTAGTTGGTTAAAAATAGCTTGTTTGTGACAAGAATTCAATCTACTGAGTTCAATCCCAAAGGATATATTACCAAAATAGAAACATATGACTACTTCAAGGAAATCATATCCATGATGAGAAAAGATATTTGTGCAACACACCATTTAATCATTGCTTCATCACCCTGTTAGATAGTATCAAATTTTTTAGATTGACATTTTCTACTTCAGTCGCAATATTGCCCCATTCCATTATAATGACATACACAATAACTACTGATTCTCAAAAAATAGTGTGGTATTTATTACAGTATAAGCTAATGTTATTTTGCAACCATTTACCCCCTCCCTCATGCATCTTGAAAAAAAAAACGAAAATACTAGTGTTCACTTAATCTTTATTTTTAATTATATGATCAGATTAAACAATTTTACTGGACACATACATGTAGAAATCCTACTTAGCGTATATATATTCTGTGTTAAATACTTTGTTTCTTCCGGAAATAGTACTCAGAATTTTGTTATTGTTCAGTCAGTAGACAAGTTAACCTATAACACATTTTCCAATTAGTATATTCACCTCAGTCAAATAATGTATACGAGTTTTGATAATTAAACCTACCTTTAGACTAATTCTATTCTTAAAAGCAGAAAAATTTGACAATGTGTTTAAAAATTCTATGTCTCCAAGTATAAAAATGAAAAAAACCTGAAATAGTTGGCAGTCTGACCGACTATCCAAAATATTATCCAGTTATCGATGAGCTATGCACTCAAAAAGCTTAAATATCATGAAGGCTTGATCATCTTAATCATGACTACCAAGAGCTGAGAAGTACAATCGCTTGAGAAAAATAATAATAAGCATAGCACTTGTTAAACAAACCTGTATCCTAGTGAATAATATTCCTATATGAGACGATAATTACTATATCTAAATGATTGCTAGCTACTATCCATAATCTTATCACATAGGAACACTGATTAGAAACAATAGAAATGTCTGTTAATTAAAGCTGACAATATGTAAACAATATTCTCCGTCGATATACCATTATTACTTTCATTAATTCATGTTCCAGATGCATTAAAATTTCAGGATATTTCTTGTCATAAAACAAAATCGACCGAATACTTTTGCATCCATTTTACAGTTATCAGAAGTAATTATTTTCATCATACAAATGGCAATCCTATAAATTTGTTCACCAGACTATGACTTATCAAATTTATCACATCATAATTAAGAACAAATGTCGAATTACAAAAGTGAATAACGATTACTTATCCCATAAAGCATCAGAAAGTAAAAATACGATTTATTAGACGTTTAAACTGTTAGCCATCCGCATATCCACCAAACCCCAAGGTGAATAATGACTAATTAAATTAAGTGATTAAGTTTGAAATTGATATCCTAAGGTTCTAGTAATAACCTCTGAGTTTAATCCCTCCCTAAAGAGGACAGTAGATACTCTGTATTATAATACGAATTCAGTTAAAGAATGTTAACACTAAATCTAGTGATGTATTCGTCATGTAGCCAAGAGGTTCTAGATTTCGTCATTTCTTTGTGGCAAATTAAATTCTAGTTTATTAAATTGTTGTACAATAATACCAGCTCCTGATAACGTAGAAAATTATGATTCGGACATTCAACTTTTCCAACAAGCAGTTTACTATTTAACCAGTATAATTAGTCATTGCTTGAACTGGTGAAATACACTTTTTACATTATATATTAATGGAAATCTCCGAATTATTACATGGCTCTGTTAGTTCTAGATATATATATATATATTCCTTATGAGTGAATATTTAGGAGCGACTTAGGACTTTCAATGGGCAACTTAAATTTGGATAGTTGAACATATGATTTACAGGAGTTATATTCAAATTTTTATACATCACAAAATCTTCATTGTAATAATTTAAGTTGACACTCAAATCGACAGCATTCTAACCACCCATACTTCACAATACAATTGTTAGAGTTGTTTATGGTTGAACCAGCTATTTCACTTATTATTTCTCACATAAAAATTCAGGATCTATTATTTCTCAACCCAATATCTCTGCGCAGTGCTGCAATAGTTTAATTCTAAAATACACTCTCCGTCAGTTTTTGACGAAATATGAAACGAAATCTACCCAACTGAAATATCTACATCTGAATAACTATCATCATCATCACACTGAGGCAACATTAATGAGATTAAAAGTATTTAAATGAACATATTTTGATGCAGAAAATAATCTCACATTTTTTTATACAAACAATGAATAAGGGAAAGTTAATCTATACAGTTATAGAAAAAGAAATATTTATAAAAATGTACAAATATTTAATATTCACATAAATATGGTTTAACTGAAAAGGATGAAAAAGCAAGAGAAACCAATACAAATAAACAGAAGTATTCTATAAACAAATGCGATTATAAACTGGGGCATATGATACATATATGAATTATAATATTCAAATGAATAATAAACTAGTCTAATTTGTCTGGAGATTCTAGTAAATAAAAGGTGAATAAACAAGTTAACATAACTGTTGTGTAATAACAGTAGTAATAATAATAATACTAATAAACTGAAAATTTTATCTAACTTAATAATCTGTTATAGGACAATGATTGAATCAACAAAATTCAAGCAATAGAAAGTAAAAGGAATAATATATATATATATATATATATATATATATATAAATTTATGTTTTGTGGTTTACGTTTATGTTTATACGTTCAGTATCACAGAAAGAGGGGTGAAGATTTCAAGCATATGTTCACTTTGAATAGTCTGGGGGTTGAATGAGCAATCAACGCCAAAAGTACACATTGAAACAGTGAAAAGAATCATCTTTATGTATAGACTACTGTTTGTTCTTATACAATGAAATAGAAATTACAAAGTGAAAAAAGGAATTCAACTGAAATATTCTGTGAACTCAAATACAAAAAAAAATGTAAATCAATGATATTCTGTTTATCTCCAGATTCACCAACAATACTGATTAGTAATAATGAGAATAATAATTAGGTATTAAATAATATAACTTTTTCAGTTACTCTTGAGGAAGGCATGACACATCTATTGCTATTATTAATAGAAGTAGTACCATTAGCGTTAGTATTCGTTGGGTTCCGTTTACAATTAACAATAATAGTTCGTTCACATTCACTTTTCTTAATTTGTTGATGTTGTTGTAATTCCTCCATTTCAGCAATGGATCCGTACACCCAATCGATGAATTGACGACGACAAGCTTCAGATGGCATACTTAAACTAATTACAGGGCCATTAGAATTACACAGTTGAACTCCGTATCGATAATCTGATCATACCAACAATAATAATAAAAAAACACAAATGAGATTTACAAGCATTCGATTAAATTTAATGAATATGCAAATTTATATCAAATAATGTGCATATTTTTTAGTATTATACTAATAATTTCATTTATCAAAGGTAGTTCAAATTAAGAGCAAGTGGATTATAGTTGAGATACAGAGTTGTTGCTTAGACCAACTGCATCTTTAAATAAGAATAACGGTAGTAAAAATTTTGACACTTCAAAATGATACATAAACCGGTGAAAATTGATATCACTGGAATTTTATTGGTATCTGAAAATGTGAATATCACGTCATCCATTCTTTTATCTTAAACAGTTTCGCAACGGGGGGAAAATGCATGGGGTTAAGATTCGGAGTTAATTTTCACAAATATGACCTTTCCCTGTTAAATGATTTCATTTTCCTTATACATAAACATGATTTTCTTCTACCCCACCTACCACAGAAAGTGGGACGTTATTTCTGGGATTTTTACCCTAATGATTATAAATATATTTCAAATATTATCATTGTAACAAATATTTTTATAAACATTCTATTGTAAGAACTTAGCAGGGAGTCTTTTAAGGCAGAGAAACATTGTTTGCAGTATTTTGCGACTTTATTTGCGTGCATAATCAATAATTAGGTTAAGAGGGGGGAAGCTTTTGAGATGGTGGGAAGCTTGTGACAAGCAGGGAATATGACGAAATCGAAACAAATATATTTAAGGAAACATGCTATCAAACCAAATGTGCCTTTACAAACTCGCACGCAATTCGCTTTACCAGGCCCACAATAAGTTTGTCAAGGTGAATTATTAACAGATAACAGTTCTCTGTAAGGTCTTACGTATATAGCTAAATAGTATCGTCTGGTACGTATCATCTTAATTCAAGCACCAAAGCATATATGATAATAATCTCTTTAATCTATACAAGATATTGAATTCGCTCGATCAAGGTACTCTGAAAAATGAGTGTGTGACCGTCATTTAATATGCAATCATTATTCGGTTGTTTTCCTGTAGTCTTGATGTGTTCTATACAACTTCGGTAAAATACTAAGCTCAAAAAACTTATTATTTTGATATCTTATACGGCACATTATATATTCCAGTCATTTTAAACTAGTATTACATCATCACATTATGTTGAAATTATCAGAACAGGGAATTAAATAATAAAGCATACTTACAATTTGATTCGAAGACTAACACTCGAAGGTCAAGGAATGGATAAACACTTCGAACTTGAAAAGTTGTATCCCCAGGAAATGGTTCAGTTGAACAGAACACTTTTTGTGTCACATCTTGAACCGGGCCGAAAGGACTACAACTACCGTCATCTCTAGATACGGAGTTCCTTGGTGTATAATGACGCGTAGCATTTTGATCTCCAAAAGCAACTGCTGCGACAGAATTTATAAGGGAACCTGATCGTAAACGGGTTGTATTCAATGATTTGACAACAACTAATATATCGTTAAATATTAATACGTGGCGCCATCGAGCATTATTTCTACCCGGTAATTTTCGAGGAGCAATTTTTTCAATTTCTTGGGTCAGTATCCTGCCAATAAAACGACGATGTCGTTGTACAAAGTTATCTGTTTTTAAAGGGCCAACCAAAACTCCATCCAAAGCACGAAGTTTATCTGATGGATCTGGTAGTGTCTTGAACTCGGAAGCAGCTATTCGATCATAAATACCTTCCAGTAAATCTGTAGGAACATCATGATCAGAATCAATTCCACGATTATTGTTAACAAAGCCTTGTTTAGTCATCCGTTTGCCCAATTTTCCAACATTAGGATTATGTAGATCTGTGTGTAACAAAAGCACTGAATAAGCTAAGACTTCCACTGTTTCAGGACTATAAAAATTTTTTCGGACACGATCTGGATTTTGAATAATATACACTTCATGAAATATTCGCATCAGATAAGCAATTTTTTGAGATTCACCCTGAAACAAAAAATATAGAATGGTTAAGAACAGTGCAATCACTGAGATTTGTAAAAGATCAACTATGTTTACTGAATTTAATCGATATCATGAACCAATCTAATTTAAACCATTATTGGACAACTGGAAACACTAGACTGTTTTATCCCAGCATGGGATTCCTCATTAGCAGTCATTCAAGACACCGCATCCAGAAGTCGGACCCAAGAATTTCGAACTCAAGACCAATTTCCATCAAACCAACAGACCTATTTAAATCCAACAATCTCCACAACCACTCACAATCTGTTTGATAAACTGGATGGTTAGTATAAAAACGATAACTGATAAACTTCAGATTAATTCATAATTAAAACTAATCACTGATTACTCAACATTTAGTAAAATTTATGAAAACTTACTGAAGGATGAAAATGTCCGATAACTGAACGTAAGGCAACATCCACTTCCATATTCTTCATATTGATCAGTAATAAAAATTCCCTGTGGAAATTAATTAAAAATGTTATTAGACTAGGTGGAATTCTAAAATGAAAGCTAAAATTTTAAAGTTCTACGCACATAATCTAAGCGACGCCATTCATACTGACTATTATTGTTAAAACTCACTTTAAAACTTTCGTTGCTAATGTGTTGTCAAGTAGACCAAAGTACTCTCCAATAGCTTGGCGATTGAGATTTGGTTCATGGAATAAGAATTGAGCAATTTTAATGGGATCAGACAATAAAATATAATTTCTAATTAGGTAGTTGATTCCTTCGACCGGGTTCCTGTGTTTAATAAAAAAAATCTATTTTAAGAAATCATATTTAAGAAATATAATCATATATATGTATAACGAAGATCTGTGAACGTTTTGGTTTTAACCGTATTATAGTTGTTTTACCTGTAACACGGTGATAGAGATCCGAAGGTAGGGATCTTTACTGTGCTTTAGAACATATAATATAATGCATGTGTATCACCCGAGAAAGGTGTCCAAGATTTGCACATATAAACATACGCACTGTGACCCTGTTTCAGGCTCCTTATGGACTGCTAATGATCTAAAGTCCGTGTGAAGCAGGTGTTGAAATTTAGTTGGTAACTCTGCCGCATAAAAATCGGGCTACCTTACCGATAACACATACCAATTAATAAATAGTTACTCACCTATTAAATAAAGTGCAACCTGCCAATAAAGTACGTTTATTATTCGCTCGTTTCATAGACTGACGTAAAGTAGTTGCCCAACTTGCCGATGATGATCCTATCAGATTTCTATGTTCCCTTAAATCTGCACTTTGAGTTTCCACATCCGTGGCTTGAAATGTAGTACTTAGTTGTGATGAAAGACCTGAATCTTGATCACTTGATTTATTAATCTCTGAATACATATTCGTCATCGATGATCGTGTGGTTGGTTTGTAGATCACAGGACCTGAGGACGTAGAATTAAGAAATTCCGAAGGAATCGGTAGTCTATGCCGACGTTTCATTGTCGGAGTATAGAATGTATTTATAAGGGACTTGTGAGATCCAGTACTCTTGCCAACAGAATGACTCATGCTCGTAAAATCTGAAACTATCGAACTGATACTTGAATAAGTACTGTTTTGATTTTGAGAACACGGACCATCGATACCAGTAGGTGGGATGATAAACCAAGGTTCATCTGCTTCACTCACACCTTTTTCAGAACCAAAGGCGTTTTTGTGAACAGCTTTAGTTTCATTGATTTTAAAATCTTCTACATTGTTACTCTTCAAAACAATAACTTTCTCATTAGTTTCATCTCCAGAATCACGATGGTCACAGTTACTTGTATGATCAATACCATGTGATGGAAAGTTCTCGGGCGTCTTATTTTCCTGAGATTTCGATGTTCTAAAATCAGTGAAAATAGAGTAATCATGAATAATTTGGATCACGAAAATTAATCGATGAACCAAAAACAGTTGCAATGGGATTTTGTTAGGCTATGAGTATTATTTTCTGGATCATAGGGGATGAAAGAAAAAAAGTATTAACAAAGACTCCATATGTTTTCAATATGGATTCTAGTTTATGGGAGAAATTTTACACCAGCTGCTCAAATATTTGAGTTGTCTGAGTCATTCATTTAGGCTTTGTCCGTTAAATTCACCATGCGTATGTGCGTGTGTGAGAGGATAAAATTATACACGTGGAAATCTATTTATATATCATGCCCATATAAAACACATATGGTCATCTCTCCCTCCACCCTAAATGTCTCTATTTTTATCCACTTGTCTGACCCTCTGATCGGAAAACGGGGTGGTAGGGTGGAAAATATATTCATCGTTATGAATACTTAATCTTGTGAGGCATACCACCTTTCACAAAGATCTTGTATACACGTGTACGCAGAAACAATTTTTAGTTTTTCATCATCGAAATTCCCATATAACATAGGTAGTTTATCTCGGATCTGAGTTTTTTATATCTGATCCACTTATGCCTCAGCTCAGACACTTAGCTATAAATGAGTCATGAAATTTGTGTATCACAATCACGACCTTGAAGTTTTTGTACAAATAAAACTCAGCGGATATGAAGAGCAAAAGAGGAAGGTAGTTTTAAAAAAATTGCATAAAGAATAGAATTATTCTATCATCTAGATACTTAAATGTAAAAAAATTAGCTTTAAAGGGAAATGAATGCTTGATATCCCTTGTATTGAAAATTTCTACTAGTGAATTATCAGGAGAACGAAAGTTTAAATACAAAAATTGTCAGTTCATAAAATGGCTGGATTCTAATGCACACCATACATCAGACTAAAGCATAAAAATTACCCAAAAGAAATTCTTTACAAAATAACAGACCAACCGAGAGGTCATTAATGCGTGGATTTAGATTGACTTGTATTACATATAATAAGTAATAGCTATACCACATCAAATTATTTAAAGGTAAATTATCACAGAAATTTATCATTCTGTTTTGGCCTAACATACATAACTAGTTTGTACTAACCGAATATCAGAAATATAGAGAGATAACTCACATAATAGGATGATTTGAAATATATCTATGTCTCAATAGACTGCGACGGGATTTAAAAACTTTAGCATAAGGTGTAATTGTCTGCTGGGTAATTTGATTAAATAAACATTCTTGTTGCATTTTTTCAGATACTGATGACCTGTTAGTGACAACTGGTGCTGTACAATCAGTTGTTAAGGATCTATGAGGTAATGATCTTCGTGGATGTTTAACATTCTTTTCAAACCATCTTGTAAGACTGCTTTTACGTTTAGTGCAAGTGGTTGTTTGATTTGATTCAATTACGTTAGATAAATCTGAGAAAACTTTAATTCTTTTATCAACTTGGTCAGTATTCGTATCATTTATTCCGTCAGTTGGTTGTACATGTTGGTCGACATGTAATGGTGATCGGTCTCGATGATTTAGTATAGACCTCCGTCTTTTCCATTGGTTAAAATCAAATTGAGGATTAATATTCTTCTCTGATTTATTCATAATATCCGATACTGGATGTTCAATGGGAAGAAAAGTTGTACTAAATCGTTTTACAAATCTTGTTAACTTTGAAGAAGTAACATCTGATTTATAGTCTACTTGTGGCGTTGGTTGATTTAAATTTTCAGGACAGATAACAGGATTTAATTTTGGATTGATATTTACATCAAGTTTAGCAGCTAGAACACGTTGTGGTGTTTGGCGTATAGATGTTAATCTCATTCGTGGTCTTGGTCTATTTGTTTTAAGTGGCCGTAAAGCATTCAATAATGCCGGCGGTGAAGATTCCATTTTTTTGAAAATGTTTAGTATAAAAGTAGTCGTGTTTTTAACTGCATACAAGTTAATCGGATATGAAATTTATTCACGTAAACCAGTTACCCTTTTAATACGCTTTCTAAACTAAAATAAACCAACCAATCAAATACCTAGGGATCTTTTATTGCTATTAACCAATCAGGATTTAATAAAGCAAAAACATGTCCACGCGATAATTTTACTCGTGGTTGTGAGATTAATAATAAACAACAACAATAGGTCAATAAATAGATTATTAAATATACTGATCTAATGAGCATAATATGAAATTTGATTTGTCAGCTTCATAATTTAGCAATTGGGTTTATCGTTTAATACTGTAATTGACTAACTTTACTGTCAAAGCAAATAATAAATCGATCTTCACAAAAGCTTCTAGCAGTAATAAGATGGATAAATAAAAAGAATTTCTCAACATAATATAAATAAAATCTGTAAGGTCCCTATGAGTATATTCATATGTTTATAAGCGGAATTGTTGTAGCAAACTAAATATGATTTTTGAAAAACTCCATTTTTCAAGATAAATAAGTTTATATTTTTCGTCAAATTATTCATATTAAACTATGCATTAAATAAATTTAGGATTTCTGCAATTATCTGGAATTAATTAATAGAAGGCGGAAAGAGGATATATCAATTTTCTATCTACTTACACAAACCTCTAAGACTTAGAATGAAGTCTTTCATTCCCACACTTCTTTTCACGTTATTTTAAAGATAGTGACTATGACACTCTTATGAATAGACTTTCGTAATTGTCAAATGTCTACAACTCTTTTTGATATTAGTTGGTTAGACCCATTCAGCAGTATGTCATATGCATAAGCTGCTTCTTGGTTGACACTCCTTAGTAAGACTCGTCTGTAATCAAGCTGAATCAAACGGGATTCACATTCGTAATACTAAATTTCACGGTCAGAGAAGTCATTGTGGTATACTCACCAACCTGCATGAAATTTACACTTGAATAAAGACCTAAAACTATCATCCAAACAGTTGAATGTGTACAAAACACTGAAATTAAATACCTTTTTTTTCTATGTATATATTAAAAATATGAATTAATGAAGTGAATGAATTAGTGAACATACACATGTACATAGAAAATAGAAGAATGAGAAATTTATTTATGTCATTACTTCTATATGCAGTCAAAAAGGTATCTGATTTAATGGTAATAATAATAATAATAATAATAATAATAATAATAATAATAATAATAATAATAATAATTAACTTGTCTTATAAATGTAATAAAAATGTCCAACTTCTAGTTTTCGGACACATTTATGAGTTTTTTCACGAGGTCAACTAATAAATGTGTGTGTATGTAAGAAAGAAATATAGGAGAGATTCATACACATTTAAACGCATGGAATGTGAAAATGAGGTCATTCAATGATTTAACTTAATGCAGACAGAGATGTATGAGATGGATTTCAACGAATGAACTGCACCAACACTATTACTTTTGACAAGTAATTCTGTTTTTTTTTTAATTGATTTAATAACATTAATAAGATCATAGACGAAATGGACATCCAAAATGGAAGACATAATAGAATATTTCTCTTAATTATTCATCTATTTAGTTAAATTTACAGTAAATTAACTAATTAAGTAACATAAAGCTTACTTAATAAATTGAATAGAGAAAATGTGCTTCTTTCTTTTCTTAATGTGGATTTGTACGTGATAAAAAGCTGAAAATAATCTTAGCAATTAATACTAATAATGATGTTTATACAAGTTTGACAGGAGAGAAAGATTGTAATACATTGAACTATTTAGTAAGTGTTTTTCTTAATGAGGTTTTAATTTGAAAGATTGTTCTAGTTAGCCCAATATTTTTTGTTTAATAAGATATTTAAATGATGAGAGAACTCAGTTGAAAACAATTATAACGAAGAGAGGAATTTTAAAAAATAGATGTTAATATTGTTGAGAGTAATATTAAGTAGAAAATGAATGTGAACTAAATAGCTTCCAGAATGTTAACCTCGTATTATGCTAAATGAATTATGTGACTGTTCAGTAGTGCCCATCCACAACCACACTAGGAACCAAACACAGGAACTTCAGATTCCGAGGTGTGCAATTAATCTATAGATCACTGAGTTAATACTCACTGGTTTACACGTTTAACTTCAATCAATCCACAACCATTACCACTGATGAGTAACTGCTTGAAACAAGATATGGACTAGATGAGCACTGATAAGGAGTTGTATACTAAGACGAAATATCTGCTGAATGCTTTAATAGTGTGATATAAATTAACTGCGTTGTCGTACTGCATCTTCAAATATTAAACTTTGTTTAGTGATTTAAAATTAACCAACCATCAGCTGGTTTAAAATTCTATTATGTTTTAAGTCTGAGAAGTAAGAAATATCTATTATTTCAAGTTCACTTTGAATTTTTTCTTTGTTAAGATTCAGAAAGTTTAAGTGAACTTTTCTAGTGAAATGGTTGAAATCTATAGAATGGTTATATAGATATTTCTATTCAATAATAAAAATCTATACTATTAATCAATTAATTAGCTAATTAACGAATAATGAATTTATTTCAAAGTTCCTATTAAATGTTCCAGCAAAGAACTGTACTGAATCCATTCCTCTTTCTGTCTCTACGGACATAAACTTAAAATATACTGAATTACATTTTTATAATCATTAAAAATATATACATACTATATGTGACTGAACTAATCCGTGTTTTAAAAGAACCACAAAAGGATAAAAAATTGGATGTCTAGAAAAATTCCAAAGTTATACGTTAAAGATAATTTTATAAATACCCACATTTGTGTGACGGCCGAATAGTAACTAAAATAAATGTTGCATAGGATTTGTTTGTAATCAAGTTATTTATAGTAAAAAAATGATATGTTAATTTTTCAAGAGTAAAAATATGTTATATGACGTAATCACTTCGTAAAAAATCTGTTTCTCTGGGAAATTTCGTAATAATAATACAGCTTAAACTTCTAAGCATTCATAAATAATCATCTTGTTGAACTGAAGTACCAGGAGAGAAATTAAAGTCATCACTGA